ACTTGTTCCCTTAGCTTTTACTCCATTGGTTTGTTTCCCCTTTTACTTCACTTCTTCCTTACTGACTGACTCTGAATCTGTTTCTGACTGACTTACTAGCTCTGACTCTGACTGACTGAATGATTTTGACTCTTACTCAGACTGACTGACTGATTTTGACTCTTACTCGAACTGACTGACTGATTTTGACTCTTACTCAGACTGACTGAATGACTCTGACTTTAACTGTCTCACTCTGACTCTGATTCTGATTGACTCTGAATCTGATCGACTGACTCTGTCTCTTACTCTGACTCTGACTCCTATTGACTGACTGATTCTGGCTCCTACTGACTGACTGACTGACTCTGACTTTGACTGTCTCACTCTGACTCTGACTCTGATTGACTCTGAATCTGACCGACTGACTCTGTCTCTTACTCTGATTCTGGCTCCTACTGACTGACTGACTCTGACTCGTGACTACGTGAACATCCTCTATACATATATGTTATCAGTCAATTAAGTATGAATTACGTGTTCATTATCAAAGTGAAATCAAACAAAATTAATCAAATATTTCCTACGTAAAGATCTAATGCAAACCACAAATGTATACACAATAATACTGTGCGTGGGTGTATGTATGTGTACGTATAAATTGATATCCCGATTTACGTAATTCGTCTATCGCATAATTTTGGAAGGATGGAATGAAGGTGGGAGGGTTAGATCGATTAACTGTATTACGCAAAAGTAAATTGTTCGAATGTCTACATTGAAAACGTGGGAAAGGGGTTGAATATACAACTCCCACATCCTTTAAAATAAAACGTTTTAAACTTATAAGAATTCTATCGGAAAATGTTTAGCCATTATTTAGCATAGATTATCATATACAACAATAAATTTATAATTACAATTTTCTAAAGAAACGAATTTGTTCCCGAGGACTGACAGTGGGGTTTGGGGGTTAGCATGAAAAGTGATAGAAATATTTTCAACAAAAAAAAAAAACGACATTTCATATCGATTAAACACACGTATGAATTTTATTTTATTATGTATGGTTTGATGTTTTTTTTTGTTTTTTTTTTTAAGTAGGATTTTCCTTTAAGGGATTTTACCGTTTCCATAGAAGTAACGTCAATTCAAAAAAAAAAAAAAAAAAGAAAACCATTCCTGTTGCCAGGATGTGATAAAAAAAAGCAGAGAATGATTAACGTATTTTGTATAAATTGCTTAGTATCGGAATGAGAAAGAAAACGGAAAAGATAAAAAAAGTGAGAGAGAAATGATAGGAAGAGAAAGACAGAGAGAGAGAGAGAGAGAGAGAGAGAGAGAGTAAGAGTGAGAGTGAGAGAGAGAGAGAGAGAGAGAGAATTACGGCGCTGGCGCAAAGGAAGAAGAACTGCCACGGGATTCCATCATTTCACCATAGAAACGCTGAAAGCTCCTGGGTAGCTAAACGAACATATAAACGTGGGTGAGAGTATAAACCCACTCACTTATTCATTCACCCAGTCACTCTCTCTCTCTCTCACTCTCTCTCACTCTCTCTCTCTTATTTATCTTAATATTCCTCTACACAATTTGTACAAGTGTATTAGTGAGAATATTAGTAGTGAATACTGTAAACGTGTGTTTGTTTGTGTTGATTGTGTTGTGTACTAAAGTTTCTCCCTACTCTTCATCCACCTCTTCACGGGTTTTCAGGTGGGGTACTTTACTAAAGGGGGGGTGACAGGGGGAAGGGTGAAGTATTATAGAAAATCCCTTTTTTGAATCGCTTGACAGTTCTAAAGCTTTCGTCGTAGTTGTTGCAACAAGAACTGACTAATCGTGAGAGTTCAGTTAAAATATAATTCAAAACAGTGTTTAATTATCATTAATATCATCATATATCATCATATATTTATATATATATATATATATATATATGATATTTGTTAAAAGAAAATTAAAATTATTATATTGTGTTTTAATATTTATTTTTGTTAACATATAA